TGGGGTTTTATCTTGTTCCTTCATCTGGTACGTAGCCCTCTGCCTTTCATCTTGTCTATCTTTCTGTGAATGTGGTTTTTGTTCCACAGGCTGCAGGATTGTAGTTCTTCTTTCTTCTGCTCTCTGCCCTCTGGTGGATAAGGCTATCTAAGAGGCTTGTGCAAATTTCCTGATGGGAGGGACTGGTGGTGGGTAGAGCTGACTGTTGCTCTGGTGGGCAGAGCTCAGTAAAACTTTAATCCGTTTGCCTGCTGATGGGTGGGGCTGGATACCCTCCCTGTTGGTTGTTTGGCCTGAGGCAACCCAACACTGGAACCTACCTGGGCTCTTTGGTGGGGCTAGTGACAGACTCTGAGAGGGCTTACCCAAGGAGTACTTCCCAGAACTTCTGCTGCCAGTGTCCTTGTCCCCATGGTGAGCCACAGCCACCCTCGCCTCTGCAGGAGACCCTCCAACACTAGCAGGTAGGTCTGGTTCATTCTCCCCTGGAGTCACTGCTCCTTCCCCTGAGTCCCGACGTGCACACTACTTTGTGTGTGCCCTCCAAGAGTGGAGTCTCTGTTTCCCCCTGTTCTTTCGAAGTCTTGCAATCAAATCCCACTAGGCTTCAAAGTCTGATTCTCTAGGAATTCGTCCTCCCTTTGCCAGACCCCCAGGTTGGGAAGCCTGACAGGGGTCTCAGAACCTTCACTCCAGTGGGTGGACTTCTGTGGTATAAGTGTTCTCCAGTCTGTGAGTCACCCACCCAGCAGTTATGGGATTTGATTTTACTGTGATTGCGCCCCTCCTACCATCTCATTGTGGCTTCTCCTTTGTCTTTGGATGTGGGGTATCGTTTTTGGTGAGTTCCAGTGTCTTCCTGTCAATGATTGTCTAGCAGCTAGTGGTGATTCTGGTGTTCTCTCTAGAGGGAGTGAGAGCACGTCCTTCTACTTCGCCATCTTGGTTCTGATCCGTGATGCTGCATTTGATGTATATCATCTCCTCCTGTCATCCAACCCTGCCAGGGGGTGGTTACGCCTTTCAACATATGAGAAATTGAGGGTTGGAGAAGGACAGGCCTTTGTTCAAGGCCATGGCTGGAGGGGGTGAGAGCAAAGGTCATTCTGGAGCCAGTCTGCTGTAAAAGAATCTTGCCTGGCAACCAGAAGTCCTGGCTCCTGCAGCTCTGCCACTCGCTTACTTCCTGTGACTTTGGTGTATGGCTGTTAGCATAACTGACGCCATCTTGGCCCTTTTCAGTGTCTCCTGACCCTAATCAGGATTGTACTGTGTGGTGTCATCAAAGGCTTTGTAGTTAATAGATATTGTTTAATACTCATTAGGACCATGTGGCCTCTATGCTGTTAGTCCCCAAACAATGCTGAAAATGTTCTCTGATATATTCCTGGTGCCCATGAGACTGGTCACCCATTCATAAATCTTGACTTAGGAATGCACATCCTATCTCCAAGCACTTACCCCTATACACTAGGTTAACTATAAAATTGTCCCAGTGGCCCCTCTGTGGTGTGTAGTGCAGATGCGAATGCTTCCTGATCGTCATCCACCTGATCCCAATCCCACTCTGTGAGTAAGTTACCCTATAATAAACTGATCCATTGATTACATGGAGCTGCCTGCCTCATTTTTCGATCTCAATATGCCTTCTCAATTTTAGTTCCCTCCATGAGAAAACACTTGGTTTTCTCACCTGTGCAGTGAAGTGTTTGGAGGAAAAGTTCTCTGAGGGGTTTCCAACCCAATGAACTGATTTCTGTGTCCCCTCTGGGTCTGGCAGAGCACATGTCACATGGTCCATGCCCCAGAAGGAGAGGGCGAGGGCTTTTCCACCTAGTGAGTACCTGCTGCCAGCCAGGGGCTTTACCTCCATCATGTCCTGTGGACCTTAGTGGTCCAGTGTGTGCAACTATGAGTCAGAAAGGACTGGGTTCCAATCCCAGCTCCTACCTGCAGCTCATTTCCTTCTGGACTCATTTCCTTCATCTGTGACCCCCTGGGGTTGTTGTGAGCCTTGCAGAGAGAATGCTTAAACAATGCTACACAAGAGCCTGGAACAGGTAGGAACTCGAAGTGTGCTAGTGTTTCCAATGTTTCTGCCACCATTAACCTTGCTTTCCCATGGGAAGGCTTTGGCCAAGATGACATGAATCCACCTCTGAGCACACAGACCTGCCAGGATATGTGGTCCAAGGTCCAGCAGCCCCACATACACACAGCCAACCTGGATCCTGGACGTCTGCCTCTTGTGCACACCCAACCAGTCTTCCTGACCCCTGGTCCTGGTTCTACCTTCCCCCCAAATCCTTGCCCTGTCTCCCCACTCTGGTCTTTGCTGAGCTTTGGCACTTCACCCCCAGCTCACTCACCTTCCAAGCCCTGTCTACCTTGGTGCCTCTTGTGGTGTCTCCTTTGTGTCTTCCAACCCGGCCAGGCAGAGAAGTGTCAGGTAGGTGCTGGGCTGTGTCTCATTAACCCCTTAACCGCTCCTTTCAGTCAGGCCTGTGGGGGTCCTCTCTCTTTGGGGCTCCTTTGAGGCACTGAGCCTCCACCCCCCAGTCACCCAGGATCAACTTCTTGGTCCCTCCTAGAGCACATGTTGGGAGGGGACTTGCCTCTGGGATTTGCTGATAATGGGAACAACATTGTTAAGGGCCCTCATGGGTTCCAGAACTTTACAACCAATGGGGCAGCTTTTATTGACATTATTCCATCTGGTCCTCAGAACAGTCAGGGGAGACAGGCAGCCCAAGAAGAGGAAACTGATGTCCAGAGAAGTGAAATGACTTACTGATGCTTATACTAGTGTTTAGTATCAGAGCTGCAAGGCAGACCCAGAGCTTCATTCCCAGGCCTGTGCTCTGCATATGGGTAAGGGCATAGGGTCTGAAGAGACAAGTCCTGGGTATGAATACCAGTTCTAATATATTTTAGCTATGTCACCTTAGGCATGTTACTTAACCTCTCTGAGTCTGAGTTTCTCCATCTGTAAAATGGAACATAACAATCTTACCATCTCATAGAGTTTTTGAGAGGGTTTAGGACATAGTGAAACATGATTTTTTGAAAATGACTCCAGGGGTTTGGTTTGTATTATCTAGCAACAGCCAGAGGAGAGGCTGCCTGCATATATTCTATTTCCCAGGGGACTAGTGATGTTCATCTCCTGCAGGAGAAGATACAACTTTCATGGGCTCTCAGAGTCTCTAGATGCCAAACAGCTGGCTTCACCAGGTACTACTGTCAACAGCTGGCATCTAAGCTTAGACTGCTTAGTACCCAGTAGTTGGTTTTTTCTGCTTATAAAGTTACTCTCTTGCTCCCTCTCCCCCCAGAAGGAAAGCAACAAGGGTCAGGGCCATTATGCCTCTATCTTAGGGCATACGTGTGTGAGTTATTAGCAGTCAGCACTCAGCTGCCAGAGGGAAGACCACTAACTGTGTCTACTATAGTCTATCCCTTGAACCTCTCTGATTCATTCACTTTTCACAAGTTCACTCCATTTGGACATAGGGTTTCCAGGATTCTGATTAGTCACAGTTTCAAGGGAAATTTATAAGAGAAGGGTTAGTTGGATTAACGACTGCCCTCGCTGCTGCAGTCAGTCCCAAGGCTGCAAGTGACACTTCATCATCCCTCTCCTCTGCCACCCATTCTAGATTCCCTTCCCCTTTCCCTTCAGTGGGTCTAGATGGATTCCCTCCTAGCATGACCCAGACCCTCATCCCTGACAGTTCTGAGCCCCTGGTTACTCTGCCTCATCAAGCTATAGTTGCTTTAATTGTCCACTAAGAGTTAAAGCCAGAAACCAGAAATGCTCACTTGCCTGAATGCTGACCTCCCAGCCCCCATTATGTAAGAGTGGCTTTACTTCCTCCTGAAGATCACGGTCAATTGCCCTTCTAAATATGGTAACTCCTTTTTCTGACTGCTGATCTGCTTGCCCAGTGGGCTTAAAATGACCAGGCAGAAGCTGTAGCTTTAAATTTAGTGAGATTTACTGTGTCTCCTGGTGAATCCGGACTGCTTAATCCACAGAGGCCAGAACTGTCAGGACTGCAAGTACAAATTCCCCCAAATAGGTCACTGTGGGTAATGGTGGGCGGAACCACTCTAACTTCCACCCACTGGTTCTTGGCAGGAAGCATCACTTTTTAATGGGCATCCAAGCTGAAAATGGATCCATCCCATTGGATGGGAACATGGACCTTATTACCGCTCCCGATTGGAGCAGCTAGTGGTTTTCTTATGCAATCATTTCCAGCCTCCCACCCATCTATATTGCTGATACATGAGTATTTGCTAACAAACAAGTGATACCAATGCCAAAAATATAAAAATTTACAGGAGAAAATTTTAACATTCAATCAAATGCTAACTTCGTGGCTCCCACAGCCCCCTTTGCTTCTCTTTGTCCTAGCACCTTATATTATTTCTCTGGGTCTGACTCCCCAGTTAAACTATGGTTACCTTGAGGGCAGCAACTATGTCTGACTTATTTCTGTCTCTAGCAGTCCTAGTAAAGACTTTAAATATAAATGATTGGATGATCAAATTTTATTCATCACATTAATGACTGATGAAAACTGTGAAAACCAATCATTCTATAGCACCAGTGGGAAGACCTCTTGATCCAGTATTTGAGGACCGGGTTTTAGCTGTCTGCTCAACTGAATGAAGTCAATTTGGGTTGCTTTAATTCATTTAAAAATATTTATTGTGTTTATTCTGTGCTGGGCGCTGTCACTGGTGTCCAGGGAGCTGAATTATTTGCATCTAAGGATCAAGGGTCCCAGAATTCCCTGGGCCCTGGGGACATGCCATTTTGGTGATGGCTGCTTTGACATCCTTGTTCCTCAGCGTGTAGATGAGAGCGTTGAGGACAGGTGCGAGAATAGCATGCACCACGTTGCCCATGATGTGGAAGTCAAGGGATAGGTCAGCCCTGTAGGCCACGTAGGCTATGGCAATGAAGGAGTAGTAGGTGCCAACCAGGAGGTGGGAGCTGCAGGTGGAGAAGGCTTTTGAGCGTCCTTCTCGGGAGCTGATGCGAAGCACTGAGGCCAGGATGTGGGCATAGGAAACAAGCACCAGGAGAAGAGGCAGGAAGGACACCACCACGGCGATGCAGAAGCCCATGGAGGTCTGGGGCGTGGTGTCAGAGCAGGAGGCCTGGACCGCAACCAAGTGGTCACAGAAGCAGTGGTAGATGTGAACAGTGTTGTTAAAAGCCATGTGGAAGGTCTGCAGCGCTGCTGGGATGGGCAGAAGGAGGGCAGTGAGCCAGGCACTGGCTGCCAGTGCAGCATTGGTCTGTGGGGTCATGAGGACAAGGTAGTGCAGTGGGCGGCAGATAGCCACATAGTGGTCATAGGCCATGACCACCAGGATGAAGGCTTCAGAGCAGTTAAGGCCATGGAATAGGTACATCTGCAGGAAGCAGGCAGAGAATCTGAGGTAGTGGTCCCCGAGGAAGAGGAGAGATAGCATCTTTAGGACAGTGGATGTGGTGAAGA